AAACTCAAAACATATTACTCAATGATTTTAGAAATAAAATTGGTTGATCTAACTGAATTGCATTTTATACATAAAAAAATTAATTTGAGATTACTAAGCTAATTTGGAATTTAATGTWATGCATTACTACTTTTTTAATATTTTATGTAAATTAAATTAACTATCATCATTTGGTTTTAAGATAAGTATGATGTTTATTACCTTTAGAATGATGTCCAATAACTCATCTTTTTTGGCCATATTAACAATTTTGTCATTAGAATCAAAAAACTTATCAATAACGAACCAAGAGTTAAAATCTTCTAGTTGATCAAATATTTTAGGCATTAACCAATTCAATAATGACCATAATTCTGACATATCATTCTGAATAGGTGTCCCTGTTAGTATGAGCTTATTGGTACAATTAAATGCACGCATACATCTAAAAAATATATTTTTTTTTTTAGTAAATCAATAATTATAACAATATATTTGGCATACTTGGATATGTGGGAATTGGCATTCTTCACTTTTTGTCCTTCATCGATTGTAATATATTTCCAATCAATATTTTTCAAAAATGTAATATCACGACGCACAACATCGTAAGTAGTTATTATAACTGGTTGACAGTTTAAGTTATTAACTTTTTGAGTATTTTTAAACTTAGGTCGCAATAAAATGCGTTCATTTTCCGTACCATGATATAAGACAGTTGGAAGCTAAAACAATAATAAATGAGCATAAATACATTTTTGTAATTAATAAATTTGGTTACTACCTTAGGGGAAAATTTTGAAAATTCTGACAGCCAGTTGGGAATTGTAGATAGGGGTGCAATGACAAGAAATGGTCCAGTTATTCCCATTTCCAAAAGAAAACAGTAGAAAGCTATGGTTTGTACAGTTTTTCCAAGTCCCATTTCATCAGCTAAAATTCCATTCAAACCATTTTCATACAAAGTCTAAAAAAAAAAATGTTCTTGTTGTTTTTATGGTTAAATACATAATATTTATAAATAACATATTAAGCTATGTTAAAATATATAAAAATGTTCATACTCTACGCAATAAATAAGTAAATTAGAAAAGATATGCCCCCCCCCCAAAAAAAAAAACAAAACACCTGGGTTATATAACTTATTTTAAAACTTATAAAATTAATTTTTTATATATAATTTATTATATAAGAAATTTGAATACATACTCTAATCCATAGAAGACCTTCAATCTGATGAGCTTTTAAATTCCCATGAAATAATTTTGGTTGTTGAAATAAGCTTAAATAATATTCTTCTTCATTTACATCCTAAAGGTCAATACTAATTATTACACATATAGTTGAGATCAAATAATTTATAGATCAAGAGCAAAAAAAAAATATACTTGGTTACAATATGATTAAAGAATTATGTTCTTCTATACCTATAAATAAACTAAAAAAATATTCTTTTAAACAATTAATACTGTGTCTGTAAACCTGACCGATATCAACCACTTACATACACAAATTGGTAAAGTATAATTACATATTATTTTAACACTTTTAGTATTTTTTTACTCTTAGCCTATATTCTTTKTGTGTCAACTGATATATGTAGATTTATTATTGCTTATTTAAAATTAAATAAATATTAATTTTGCATATAGATTTAGAGAAAATACTAGTATGCATGTGATCTAAACAAAATCTAGTATATTATATTTTTGATTTTGAGATATCAATAAGAAAAAATTTAATAAAAAATAAAAAATCTACATGGGCTATATTATCCTCTATTTTAATTAATATGAATTGTTTTATCACTTTTAAAATAAAAATTATATGTCTGTTGTACTATCGGAGATTTTTGACTCCCGTTCCCCACTATTTATATTTTCGCGRTGTCCTTAAGGGAATCCCGTATTACATTTTCAAGCTTTTTGGCAGTGAAAGACAATTTTAAGTTGTTAACACTGATCGATTGTACCTTAAATTACCGATCACAGTCGGACATCTACACATAGCACTAAACATTTACAATATATTTACTTCAATTGATTGGTTGTTTGTGATCTTAATTGATTCATCTTTAAGACTTGGCTTATTTTCTTTCATTTTTTTTGCTTTTCCTAGTTCTTTTCTACAAAAAATAATACAATAAATTTATTGTTTTTAAAGCATCATATTTTATAAATATTTCTATGAAATAGTATTTAAAAACTAAAAAGTAAGTTGACATTTAAGTCATCAAAAATATATTAAATAATTAATCATAAACTACTTAACTTTATGCACTTACTTAATAATTTGAAGTTTACATTTTTTTAATCTGGATTCAAAAAGATTAGATAATTTAATACTATTTCTTAGTAGTGTAAGTAAATTTTGAAATCTT